TCTTTGGGAACATTAGGTGTTTCGGAAAGTTCCTGAGGATCATGAGGAATCTGAGAAGGTCCATGCATTTTGTAGTCCCTCGATGCTTCCAGTCAAAATGATGTTTAGATATGTTTAAGTATATGTTTAGATATGTTTAGAAGCTTGGACATCTTTGGACCACGAAACTGTTTGATTCCCTTCCAAACTGTCCAGGTAAGTCTAGGGATACCTTGTCTGGTCATTGTGTAGTGATACCTGTGGGGCCGGTCATTCTGTATAGTGAAAGGCCGCTCCGGGGTTGTATTTTGATTGCGGTGGTGGTGTCTGGATGCATCTAGTGATTGCTTACAGGCTACCATAGCTGAGGCCCAAAAAACATGCCAAGGCACATGGTCCTGGCAATCCATATAGCACTTCTTCACCATCGAAGGCTAGGCAAATCGGTAGTCTTGGCAAGCAATTCTTTGGCATGTTGACGTAAGTGAGCGATGACCAGAACGGAAGGGCCTTCAAAGCCTCTTGGTCTATTGATTGAAGTTGTCCATGTAGAACCTTCCGGACATAGGCATGTGTTCCTGCTGCATCGAATGTGAGGCAACGAATCACACTGCCACAAGCGCTCAGGAATAAGCCATTGGCATGTAGCATGCTCCAATTTCCTCTCGCTTCTGCACCTGGTCCCCCCCCCCGCCGCCTGAACGAGCCAGTTGCATAGGCATTGATGCTGCGGAAAGTGGAAACTTTTGCAATCCCACAGGATCCCACACCAACCATTCGTAGACGATGTCAGCCTTGTTCACTTCCTTCAGGTTCAATGATTCGTCATTCAAATCATAGAAAACCTCCTGCTTCAGCGATGGATCCCATGGTGCTCCAGCCAGCCCACGCTGCGAGCGCAGAGTCATTTGGCATAGCGTCTGGGTCAAATAGGTGGCATCGAAGGCACACATCAACCGTCCTAGGAAGTGGACATTCTATGACATTCTACAATCCTGAAACACCAACGCACACTGACCCACATATATTGCCTTGCATTTTGTAGCAGGTAGTGTTGCTACAAAAAGCAAATGAATTAATATAATCAATACAAAATGGATCAAGGTTAATGAAAATGAATGAAAATGATACAAACAGTTCCATATATTTCCTAGGCACGACGTCCACAATCGCCTGAATGCAGTACATATCTTTGGTCCAAGAGCTTACAGTTCTCTTCCAACTTGTCAAGCCAATGAAGGGCCAAAGCAGGACACGGCAGGGACAGCTTGCTCAACTTGTCCATGCCGACACACAGGGAACTCCTGGGTATTCCAAACTCGCGAGCCAGTGCTTTGTTCCCACACATCATTGCCAAAGCCATTCCCGCATCAGCGATCAAGGTCGTCTCTCGATCAGACTCGTTGCTTCGTCTTCCACAAACAGCTACTCCTCTGGACTGTTTGTCCAGCAGCCTTCTCAATTGAAGAGCCATCCCTTGAATCAAAGGATGTCCATCGAAGCGTCCTTGGATAGCAGTGCTGGCAATTTTGATGTTGGCTGCGTCTGCATCTGTGGCCTGGCCTGTTGCAATGCACATGGAGAATTTGGCGACAATGTCTGCAAAGCAATCGGGTACCGTGGCCACGTTGATACGCAGGCAGGGATCCACAACCAATGACAGAAAGTCCTTGTGGGCCGCTGTGGTGGAAGAATCTGGACAGGTTAGCCAAGAGCTTCTCACATAAATTTGCAGGTGGGCCGCACTGAGTTTGGTGACAGAGTCGATGGTCTGCGGGTCCTTGCTGTACACGACTGACTCCTTCATCTCCTTCTGGATACTGTTCACCCGATCTGGCGTCTGGAAAAGTCGAGCGTTGAGAAGCTCTGCCGCGTAGTACTTGACACTGAAGCGCATGACGTACCTGAGCACACCATGTGCCATTCCCACAACTCTGCAGTTGTTGCAAACCTCAGAGTCTTGTGGACAAGTGCCCAGGCAGGATCTGGTTTTGATGGTCCAAATTCCAGTGTTGGCATCCTGCACAGTTTGTCATCGTTTGTCGTTTGTCATTTTGTAGAAAAGTATTACTGTAAACGCTATAGATCTACAATATATATAACATATTTTAATGCATTTTGTAGTGTGGTATCTGTACATCCCTGTCATTTTGTAGTGAGACAGGAAAGAAATTATACTGTAGATATAAGACTATATAAATAAAAAGGATTAAAAAGGAATAACAAGGATACATTTCAATCATTTTCAAACCACATCTCCTGCTGATATGTGTGTCTTGCAAATTGTTCCAGGTTCGTAAAGGTAGTCCACTTCTGAAACTGAGCGCGGAAGTGATGCAAAGCTTCTGGTCCGTTGCCGTGCAAAATGAAACCTTGGCAAGCCATCGTTTCTCCACCATGAGTGAGCTCTCCAACAGGATTATGAATGGCTGTTTGGTGTCGGGAACACTTTTCATGTTGACCAATGAAGTGACGTACAGCATACAGCTTGTTCGAGGTCACATCCAAGACCTTGCCACTGGGAAAAGCTTTCGTCTTGCACACATTGCATCGAACTGGAAACTTCTTTCCATGTGTCCCTAGTGGTAATCTGGTGTATGTCGGATGTATGCTCTCAAAGAAAGTTGTGATGTCCCTGGCATCATTTGCTTCCGCATTGTTGGTCATTTCCCTGTGAATAGCTGAGAACTGTTGATCTGGTGGGATCACTGGCACAATCTGTAGTTCGCTCCCTTCCACAGCTGCGACATCTGCGTCACCATTGGGCAAATTGTTAGCAGCAGTAGCATCTGAATCCTGCAAAGGAGGGTCACCTTGTCGCGCTCGTTCCTTCCTCTTCTCCAAAGTCTCAGCTACAAAGTTGCAATGAGAAAGGAGCTTCTTGCAAGCCTCGCACTTTACATCTTCAACTTCGCCATTCCTCAACCTCATCTGCAACTTGACAAAGCCACCACCATCGCAATGGGTTACTTTCTTGAAGACTTGGTACCTTCAGGGTGCAACGAGGAAACCACATTTTATATCCTGTAGCTGCTACAAAATGACATGCTTCAAAATTAAACCTTACAAAATGCTTTTGGTTATATGCTTGGGCCTGCGA